CTTCTGTGCAGTTTGGGTCACCTTCATACCTGCATATATCAGCTCACCTGGAAAATACACAGTTGCAGTTGAGATTTTTGCAATTTCGTCCTCAACGTTTGGTCTGCTTCTTTGCATTTTCGCTCCGAAATGCTACATAATTTTGCTTAAACCTGAAAAAAACACTAGGAAACACATTATGGGGAACATCACATCAAAACAATCATGAGTTCTCATTCTTTTAATGTCTTTTGACCCTGTTTTTCTCTTGTTCATCATCTTAGAGTATAAGAAAATAGATAGTGGAACAAATTATATAGGCTTAATTCAGGCATATTAGTTCATAAAAATGTATGCCATCATTTAATGTAAAGAAACTGTCACGAGAGAGAGTTCTCACCTGAGTAAGGTCTTTATTTCAATATTGCAATATTGGGAGCCCTGCTGTCACTCTGCAGAGTGCGTCAGAGACTCAACTTGTTATAGGCAGTACAGGGTTTTTATAAAGATGTTTTAATGCAAGGGAAAGTACAGCACTTTTTCCATTCTAATACTTCCCCTTTCCTTAGGACAAAACAGATGACATCATAGAAACGGAAGAAGAAGCGCCACTATGTATTTTGCAAAGTTTAACAGTTACCCTCGGCTAATTTCGTAATCCAGACAGTACGTACTGTGTTTACAAACTGTCTTCTAAAAATCTGCCAGTAGCACAGCAGTTACATCCTTTTTATATATTTTCCTAAAGCTCTTTACATTTTAAGAATCAATTTATTTACTAGATTTCCATTTCAAAACCTATATAAGTTAAATTTTACAATTCATTACATTTTGTATATTTTTATTTCAACAAGTGAATCTATCCTGTATTGCAGCAAAAGACATACGGAAATAAGAAATCACAAATATGCTAATTAATTCTGATGTCAGTCTATAATACAGCTATTGTTAACCTTAAGATAACCTTAACCAGGTTGGTCCCACAATTTTACACTCACAAAAACTCACTGACTTCAAACTAAAGCTACAGTAGTGCCAAGCCTATTCGGGGCTCACAAAAAACAGCATGCAAAACAATTATAACCATCAAGACCTACAGTAGGTACTCCCTTTGAATGTGAAACAAAGCACCCATGTGAAAATTGAAGATTTCTAAACTCTTTTTCATTTAACCAATACTTACTTGGTCACCACTGGTGTGGCTATTTACAAGCAATTATAGACCGAAGAGCAGCCTCTAAGAAGAGGCTGTGATTCCAGACTTTCCTAAAGGTAACCTGCCACAATTTGAGAGAACCATTTGTTGATACACAGGCAATATGCTTTATACAATAAAAATAAGGTACAGAACTACTGTACCAAATAAGCAAAATGGGACCATGTAGCTTCCTAACATATTCAGCCTTCTGTTCTTAAACCGGTCCCTAAATAGACATGTAATCGATGTGCAGCCACATGTTCTAAAACCTTAGATAGAAATGGTAAATTCAGCAAATTCAGCAAATGGAAGAATCAGCTAATTCTTCACACAAGGCTCAGAACACAGGAGAGGATCAAGTGTGACTCCCAGATTCCTGAATGTGGCTGATGTGTGAATGGTGAAGCCATCTGCCATTACTGTGAAGCCCTTGAGTATTTCCAGCTGTGATTTGCTACCTGCCTGTAAAATTTGTGTTTTGTCAATATTTAGCTTCAGGGAATTGGATGTCGACCAAGCAAACAAGAGACAAGTGATGGAGGGGGGAGACCAGAGGGGATAGAAGTTTTAACATCAATCTGAGCATCAGCTGTAGAGCAGTGAAACTGAAGACCATGTTTGCATATCATTTGGCCGAGAGGTAACATATCAATAATAAAAGCAAAGGACCAAAAACTGAACCCTGAGGCACACCGTAATTGACTGGGGTCATGGGGGATTCATGAGGGCCAAGGGTGACAAAATGCTTCCTGTCAGTCAGATAAAATGGTAAATTAGAAATTGGTCTGCAGTTCATTATTACATCAGAATCCAAGACACGCAAAGTCCATACAGACAACACCCCCAGATTGATCCCATGGCTCTGTTAGGTTGATTCACAACTGAGAAGTGCAGGAATGGACCCTATGCGGGTTCCAAGGTCAGGGTCAAGAGGTGAGCGAAAGTCCAAAGCAAGAAGACAATTTTAGTAACAAGTGCCAGAAACACACTCCAAAAGCCAAGGTCAGGAAACATGCCCAAATCCAAAAGTCAGGCAAGGAGTCCAGGAAGAATTCAGCAAAGGTTAGATCAAGGGCTCAAAGAGTTGAAAACAATACTGAGCAAAGTTTGAATGAAGAGCAGGGCTTAAATAAGTTTGGAGAGGGGAGGCTTGGTGAAGTGGGGACACTGAGCAAGCAGGGCTTGGCTACTGCCGTCTGCTGCACAGATGAAGAAGGCACTAGAGGTTGGGGTGCCTTCTGGTGGCAGGATACTGGAACTGTAACAGACTCCAGCACTGCAAGGCAACAATGCTAAGCACAGCTCCATCATGCCAGCCAGTCCTGGTTTACATGGGACAAAATGGCATTCAGGCAACTACATCAGTGCATGTAGGAACATTTAGTAATGGCATTGCCAATATAACAATACTTGAAAGGGTAATTTTTCAATGGCCAAACAGAATTTAAATCTGTTTTGCACAACACAACTCACCAAGTGCTTGATGACCAGTTTGAGGCATAAAAAGACTCACTGCATGGTTAAGGTTCGAAACAGGTTTCAATTCTTGGAACAGCATTAATGGTGTGCTGGAGAAACAGGCAATCATGTTGGTCTAAGCAGGATTCTCACTTTGACATGGTGTATGATAATTGTGCACTCACGAGAATCATTCCCAACAAGCTGGGAGTTAATAGCCAAAGGTGTTTTCAAGAACACATTTTGCCATGCAGGTAAAAGCCTGTTGCAAGTATAAAGAGTATCACTGCAACCTGTGAGGTTAAACTGTGATGCGGAAATTGTGAATAATTACAAAAGCTTCAATGCACTCGGTACAGCCAAGTCTCAAAGTCAATCTGTAGAGAGGATCTCTAATTCAAAGTAATAAGAGTAGTGACAACAAAATTGTAGTCAAGTGGCACATGAGTTAAATATTGCAGCATTTTTGCATCATAGTAACTGTAATGA